CGAATACATGTAGTAACATCATAACGACGTAGGTAATATTCTTGCTATAGGACGATAGATTTTATCTAATGTTTATGCTTATGTATCACACAACACTATACAGTTGTATATACAAATAAATGAAAGTTATTAAAACAAATAAAATATATAAGGGTATAAGTATGCCAAATTTGTTGATAACATTGGATCATTAGAGATTGCATGAGGATTGTGGCAATTGTTTTGGTTCAATCCTTTTATATTTTAATTGTTAATATCCTTTCCTCTCTTGGTATTACTTCCTAAGTTATATTTTAAATTTATTTGCTTCCGCATTCATATTTTTTTCCCATGTAGATCCTCCTGCTAGAGTTTTAGAGAATGATGCTACAAACAAACACATGAAACGAATTATGTTATTCATTATTCAATTTTGACATTTGCATTACTTTGTGGGATACTTATATTTATTCATATTTCCATTTATTTTCGTTCAAAATATACTACTATAAAGGGTAGGCAGATGGATAATACATACAGCTTATATTATAAGTAGGAACTAAGAAGCATCTTCATAATGTAAAAAAAGTATCGATCCATTGATGTTATGTTTTTCCAAGCTTGCCAGAAAGGTTATTTCATCCCATATCAAATAATCTATGTTCAAATATAACTAAAACAAATTCCCGATATTAACGTGTTGGGTTGTTGTTTACTTGATAAAACTGTTTCCTTATGATGTGTGAATACTTACTGAAAGGCCGTTGCATCGAGAAAGTGTTCAATACACTTTACATTATCTGATCTTGTCATGCAGCTTATTATGTCCTTTACATGTTTTCTTATCTTTTTTTGAGTTTGGGAAATCGCGCACCGGGAGGTTGTCAGAAATTGACCTTTTCCTGGGTTCAGTACAGACAGCAATATGGATATGTCATTTGTTGGGATTAACGAAAGAACTCAGTTTTACTGGCCACTGAAAGCTTCCGTATAACTTTATACTTCTGTAGTAAGTTGATGTACAAACGACGCTTTCGGATCAAAAGAGAAGACCTAAAGGGTCCGCCCCCCAATTTTGTGTCCAAAATATACATAATGTTTTTTTCGTGTGGCTTTGAGCCCCTATCCCAACCTGAAACTGGTCGAGCCCCACTTTCTGGATCCGCCACTGACAATGTACATGCGTGGGTTCACCTTGAAATGTTATGAATATAAATGAAGAAAGAAACCAAAGGAATAAGAGTTCAATTTCTGCCAATTTTGTGATTGGCTTTGGTCGATCAAAATTGATTCTGACTCTATGAGGTACATGTACAGTTTATATATTATGTATCTGGCAAATGGGACTATTTGCATGCACGTTACCCGACGAGCTACAGCGTCGGTGATGACTATAATTACTTCTTGAAGGGCCCCTTTCATTTTCAAATATTTTTGCATTTAAAATTTTCGATATCCGAAAGAATTTTTTTCGAAACATTTTTCTGTGATAAATATATGTACTTCCATTTGGTACGAAACAATTTTATGTGACTAAGAATTTGATTTTTCTGATAAATGATGGTGAAACGAAATTGAATTTCTTATCGGCAAAGAAACGGATGCATGGTGAATAAAAATTGAAAAGTTGTTCAACAAGTAAAATTTGTTTTCAAAATACTATAGCAACTTTTGCACCCCTGTACGAAAATTTACACCCTTACTCTAGGCGGAATTCAGAAGACGTAGTCCGCCTATCATCTATAAGGAACTTAATAAGACTATTAGACGGAGTTCAGGTGGAGTCAGGGCAGAATAGGGCTCGAAATATTTAAGTAAGTTAAGGCGTATTCCGCCTTTCCTAATATGAATTACCTGCAAGGCGTATTCCGCCTTACTAACAATAGTCGTATACCGCCTAACCTGTAAGGCGTATTCCGCCTAACTTCGTTACTAGCAAGGGGCATTCCGCCTAATGGTTAGAGGGATTTTGCATTAATGTTTACATAATTTACATGTACTTATCACAGTGTATCAGCTATTTGCTGTTTCAGACTTTTACAAACTTAACAATTAAAAACAATGAAATTATACAAATTATATGCATGTATCCTATATTTTTAAGTTCTTTATTAAAATTCAATGATTACAAAAAATGTTAACATTTGGAAATTTTATGCCTTGCCTTTACATGAAATTAAAAGAGAAAAAATATTGTACCAAAACTTGATTTTTTTTCATGCATCTATACATAAAAATTTGTCACAGTTGAATTAACAAATAAAAAAAAGATAGACAAAACGATTGTTTAAAAGTCAATTAAACAAAACAATTAGCTGTTAATTTACCTTTGATTGAATATTTTCACAAAATTCTTTATGTAATACTGGTGATCTGACAAAGTTTATATCCTACCTCTTTCTGTCTGTAAGGAAATAGTGTGTCATTTTTATTGTTCTCCTTCCTAAGTTATCTGGTATAACCTAGAGTGTATATGTTGTACACCACCTTCGGCGGCACCTATTTTAGCGCCATATTTACAGGGACCGGTAAACTAGAAGTGTTCCGATTGCATGTGTCAGATAGTTTTACAGGGGGTACCGGTTGGGTTGGACATCTAGTCAATCAAGTAGTTATCTTTTTCATCAGATTTCAATTTTGAGAAGGAAATGAATAATGTTATTCCACTTATTTATTTTAAAAAATTCAATTTCCATTATATCTTTTTACAAACATAACTAAAACCTTGCGTAATTGAGTGTAAGGAAACACCTTATATCAATAGCAAAAGGATATTTTTAACAAAATCTTAGTTCCTTACAAATACATGTAAGGGGAAAATTACAATGAAGGGAAAAAATCTCTAAATGCATGCAAATATCTTTATTTTAAACTTATTTCCCCCTCCAGTCCAATAAATTGCGAAAAAGCAATGGAAAAGGACAACACAGACAGGAGTCCACTGAAAACGAACGATTATAATGAGTTATTATACCGGTTATTGTAATCTATACATTCATGTAAGTGAAACTGCTCCAAAAAGTGTACCAGGGTATGAAAGGGAATTTTTGTTTGTCAATTGACTGAGATAGTGTTACATCATAGAAAAATTCAATAATATTGCATTTTTTTAGAACTTGTTAACGTGGCATATTTCTGTCCCCTACATGCAAGATAAAGTATGATTGTTAACATGCATGAAAATTATGTCAACATGCAAGCAAATTATGTCTACATCCATGATACTAAGAAGTTATGTTGAAATGCAAGTTACAAATCATTTAAGAGAATCTGATTTTAATATGTGTAAAATCTTGTACTTAAGCCCGTATCTGACATCATAGATGCACAATGCGAAATAATTATGACGAGATGCGGTTAATATGCGAGATAATTATATATGTAGACATGCGAGATATTTCAGTCAAAATGAGAGTGACCTGTAATTATACTGAAAGGAAAAAGAAACGCAGGGTAGCATAATGTTCGTAAAAAATTTGACCACATGACCGAAAATTACGAAAATTGGTCAGAAGAGAAATTTAGTTACTGTGCACTAAAATCAGTATTCAGAATTACTCAACCGTAAAATTTATGACGTCACGTATGGAAAACGCTAAAAAGCCCAAAACACGTGCAATTTGATGACGACGAGTTTGTCAACTAATCTTGTTGCATTATTTGATGCATATGAGATATGCACATCGTTTTTCAATATTAAGAGACATTATAAATTTCTTGCAATCTTAGCACAGTTTACGGAAGTTCAATGGGGTCTTGTTTTCGAATTGCCTAATTAATGAAAAAGGCAACAATGGTTTACTAAGCAGTTTCTTGTAAATTTTCCCCCATAAAACCTGTTACCCGTTGTCAGAGAGGGTCTAGAATGGTTTTCAATCAACCGTGACGATGACATTTACGCGAAACAGAGCCATGTTACGAGCGGGTTATTCGTCCTGCCATCTCTTAAATCGCCTCCTTACTAACATAAAAACAACCATTTATACAGAGGACGATTATAATCATTACATTGATAGAAAAATTTGAAAGAAATCAATTCCGCAATTTGGTTTTTTGAGCCAGTCAACTTACTGTTGTATTCCTCTCACTGGCGCCTGCGCGCACCGTTTGACTTATTTTTTTGCGTGGTTACCCATGCCAAATATAGCCAGGGTTTAAGTGATAAACCTCCTGACGAAATTCCATGTAAAGGAGAAATAAGGCTCTGACAGATGCATGGGAGAGACATTGAAGATAATGAGAGTTTTCGATTTTCACTTTTGGGGGGTAACATCATTTGAGCTTCAATAACTAATGAGTTATTAGACAAAATCAAATAGGAATTTGGTTTTATCTTTTTGAAATATGATTTTAAAAGTTAGATAGGAAAACTAAAACATATTTTAAGAAAACAAATTTGATTCACCTCAAAAGTTTACCCTGCGTTTCTTTTTCCTTTCAGTATATGTAGACATGCAACTTATTAATGTGAACATGCAAGTAAATGATGTTAACATGCACGATACTTATGTTAACATGCGAGATAATTATGTAGACATGCAAGATATTTAAGTTCACATGCAAGATAATTATATTAACATGCTACTTATTTATGTCAACATGCGAGTTGTAAGTTGCATATCTTTCATGTAAACGTAACTATCTTCCATGTTGACATTGACGTGTCCAACTTGATATTTAAAAAAAATTAATCCAAACTTTCAGAGGAATGCTTCTGTTTTGATATGACTAATCACGATTCTGCTATTCTTGAGGAGTTTTAAGATATGCATATATATTTTTTTCAAAATTCTAAAAAATTAATGTTAGTTTTTCTTGAAATAATTGTGTCGGGATGATAAAATTCCAGAATGTATTTTTTAAAAGCTCTGCTCGACGACCAGAAAAAAAATTCACGCATAGAGGATAAAGTGTCATCTATATTTTGTTTGTAATAGTAGAAAATAGGATTTAAAATCAAACTTACAATTTGGAATGCACATCACATTTACAAAAATATAATTCAGCATAAGGAGGAAATAGTCATCGAGAAACACGGAAATAATTTATTAGTATTCAAACTTATCTCCTGAATAGCACTTAAAATATTGAAGAAATGAGTCTGAAAGATGTTTTCTGATCTACATGCTATTTAAATTTTCTTTTGGATCTTGATAGACTGTCTTTCGAGTGTTCTGAACATGAACAACTGTCATGGGTAAGGCATTAGAAACCCTCATTTATGCACATACTAGCTACCTGTAGATTTATCAATTAAGAATCGTATAATAACTCAATACATGTATACCGGTATTTTATAAATCTAAAAATGAATCTATCAATGTATAGTTTCTTTCTGGTTAAATCTTCTAAGCTTCAATGAGGGGAATGTTCGTGAACATCGTTAGCCTCTGCATACGTAAGCGTATACATGTATATGTATATTTATATGCAGTGTATTTAATATGAATTAACGTTCCTTCGACATATACAGGGGCTAATTTATATTAAATGTTTAATACCAATCAAGGCCTAATGAATGTAGCAAATCAATATATAAAGCTTAATTAACTCGTACATGATGTATATGGAGATAACGAAAAGTACTCAATATCAAAGTCCATAAAACAATACAAAACAGGAGCAGAGCAAATATGGACCTCCGAAACACGAGAGGTGAGATCAGGTGCCATGGAGGAGTGAGCATACCCCGCCGATCGACCACGCCCACCTTGCAACCCATCATGATCGAAAAATATCGGAAAATCCGTCGTAAATTCAGTGTTTAAACGATGGACGTACAATTAGTATGTAAAACGTCAGTCAGCATATACATGTGACTCAATGATCAATTGTATTTGCTGACAAGGTCATTGTATCGACCATAGAACTTACGAAATGATGACTTTAAACGAGACTGCTGATATTTTTCTTTCATCAACTTCCTTGTCAATAATTTACCTCGTTTTAGAAAAAATGTTCTTACGCAGGGAATTTTCTTGTATATCGAATCAACTGAGATACATGAATATGTACTCCGTATGAAGGTTATGAAGGTATATTTCAGAAATGAAGTTTGCGTTTCGTGAATGTTGCAGAATAACCAACGAGGTCGCGAAATAATGTTTGAAAGATAAAAGCCAAGGCGTTAGCCGAGGATTTTTAATTTTTACAACATTTCGAGACCGAGGAGGCTATTCTGCAACATTCAAAACAACAAGGATTTTATTTCTATTCTACTACATGTACTTGCAGCACTAGAATACGAATGATCGTTTCTCTATAAAAAAACGGATTAGGTCACCATGCTGCGATTACGCTGTTCCATTTAGCACCAGAGTGTAAGTGTATTTGTTTACCTGTGAATAGAATGAAGACGATTTGTGCTTTCGCTGCATTAAAATTAGCCTTTTATTATTCACTTTTAAGTTGGTTGTGGAAAAGGACTGGAATCCTTATACCTACATTTCGTCACAGTGGTATTATAAGTGTGGTGTAGCCATATCGTCACCTTCAAGTTGGTTGTGAAATATGATGTTGACTGTTGTTACGTTATGTTGATTTGAAAATATTTTCATATATAAATAATTTAAAGTAAAGAGATGTATATTTAATTAAATCTTGATCTGTAGGTAGCATGATTGAACCCAAACCCAGCATGCTGCTTGCCGTTTCGGACGACACATAAAATTTTGTTGCTGGGGGTGAGCCCTGTTGTCTTGCGCCCCCAAAGTCGATGTTGATTGTTGAAATACATTTACCTGACCAATGTGGTCAAAATTTGCCATACAATAAACAATAAACTTTGTGGTTATAATTTTGTCAAGATTCACAAGCAATGTTGCAAATACCAGCATAGGGATTATTTATATAGGGTATATTATGGATGTCTGGGTAGGTTATCCCATAAGGCATTGCTGTCTTTGATAGATCTGTTTAGAGCTTATTTATATTAATCTTTTTGAATTAAGAAATAAATATTTTGTCGAAATCGTCAATGAAAAGTGTATTAAGCATGAACTGAAAATATACACATGTATATATGCAAGATAAATTTTACAACATCAAGAGTGGGAAAGCATACATGTATATTTACCTGTAGAAACATCTATACAACAAGTTTTATGGAGACATTCTGTTTCATTGCATTGGCATTCATATTGACACCCCTCTCTGTAGCTTAGTACCTACTTTGTTCTGAGCAGTTTGTGGCTCTATACCCTATTGGGCATTCTATAGATATGTATAAAATTAATGTTACTTACTGGCTGCTTTCTATTGACAAAAAAGTGTCTAAACTTTTTAAAACCAGTTTTCAATATTATGACATATATTGCTAAACGCAAATAAGTAATGGTAAATTCATGATTCTATTACCTATAACTCACCGACACAGGCGTTTTTCTCCCAAAGGTATCCGTCACAACAACCAAGGGCGTTCCTAAATTGTGTACATGTAAGTATATATTTTGATACCCTGATTAGATGTTTTAAGCATTTGAAAATGGAGTGCTTTCGAGAGGTATACGTAATTCCTCAAATATATAATACTTGAAACTGAACAAAAATATACAATTCTTTAAACTATTTAGCGGAATTATTTTAAACATCTTATTACGAAAGAACAATAGACGAATGATATTGAAACATTTTTTTTAAACTCATTCGGAAAAAAGGCGAGCGTGTACTCAATAATAAGTTTAACCCAAACACGAGTTACATGTATTAACTTTTCTATAGTCAACTACCTACATGTATACTTATGCAGCATTCTACTTCCTTTGCATTTACGGTTTGAAAGGTCAGAATCTTGCAGTGGAATGAATCTCTGATGAATCCAAATTTTAGAAGTTGACTCTGAAAAATCCCACCTTTTGTACATACAAAGCAGTCAAACAGATGAAAAAATACTATTATCACCCGGAGCTTAAGAGTCAAGATGTACAGAAAATACAAGTTACAATAGCTTAATTGTGCCAATGTCTACAATTCTGCAAAGAGCTATTGCTTTCAAAAGACGGTTAAAAAGACAGTTGTGATGTTCAAGAAACCACAAAAATTCAAATCGGAGTAGTTGTTATTTTTTCTGCCATGAAAATATGAAAGTCTTACTAATTTATATATGTGAATTATGTTCCATTAAATGAAATACCCCACCTAAAACTCAAATAATGTAAACAAATACTTTTAAAATGTACACTGTATTTGATGCCTCGATACACAATATTACATCATAATAATGTTCGAAAAACCATGTGAACCTTAAAAGTACGTTAAACTGTATTAATATAGATTATTAAAGAAAAATAAGAAAATCATATCCAGAGTATGTTTTGTTTCGAAGATACCATATAGTCTGACACAAGCATCTGTATCATATTTGGATAATTTACTTGAAAAGATATCAATGGAAATCTAACAACCAAATTCTATGATAAATTGATGACATTAATTCCCATCAGTTTACTTCATTACTTAAGCAGCAACTATCTACGTTTATAACCGCAAGCTGTACGTATGAAAAACTCCTAAAACGAGGTAAATTATTGACTAACAAGTTGATGAAATAAGAATATCAGCAGTCTCGTTTAAGGTCATTATTTCATAAGTTTTATTGTCCAAAGAATGACCTTAATAAGCTTGTCAGCAAATACAATTTAACATTGAGTCAAAAGCCCACTTGCGTATTTTATACTTATTTTTAGTCCACTTTGTCCACTCTGTTTGAGGATGGATTTTTCCATTAAATCCCGATTATGACAAGGAGCACACGGCGAGTATGAACAGTCGGCAGAGGATGGCACCTGATCCCACCTCTGGAGTTTCGCTGCTCCTATTTTGTATTGTACTGTGGACATTTGATCTTGAAAACAATCCGTTATCTACATATGTTTCATTCCATCAATTTGTAATTCAAGGGCACACCCAATACTTTTGTCAAATTCAAAATTCTTTAAAGTAATGTCATTTTGTATCTAATCATAAGTTATAAAATACATCAAAACATAAAGTTTTGAATGCACATCACATTACTTTACAAATATTTTTTCTTCATGACGAAAAGGAGGAAATGGTCCTCACGAAACACGGAAATTATTCATTAGAAATAAAACATCTCTCGCACTACATTTTATAATATTAAATAAGTGGCTTTTGAAGATGTTATCTGATGTACATGCTTATGCTGTTTTCATTTTTCTTTGGATCATAATAGATCGTCATCCGAGTGTTATAAACATGGAAATCTGTCATGGGTAATGTTAAATTAAAAAAAAACTTCCCGAAATTTCTATCTATTTGTAATTCCTTACAAGCTAGAATTTAACTTTTATCAATTTATTGATGTAGAGTTCCCCTTTTTAATGAACCCTCTAATTATTTAGAAAGGGAAGAATAATGTTTTTCAACTTTATTTAGTAATTATTTAACGTCCTACTTGAGATTTGTTTGTTTTATATTTTCATTGAGACACCATCACCTGTTAGTAGAGTGCTGCAAATTTAGACAAATTCTCGGCATCCAGGGTGATTTATCTTTTTGGTGCCAGGATGCACCTTCTGCAATTTCTAATTATACCATCTCATCTGAAAGACCAGTGTCTATGTACCACTGTGTGATTCGATCCCACGAATTGATATATTAAACACCATTCCCACTGTGCAATCCTGGCTATTATCCACACTGCAAAGCGTTGAAAAATGAATTCTTAAAGTGTTTATGAATACTCCACTAACAATAAAATGAAAGTGAAAACTTGCGACCATACATGAGAATTCACTAGTTACATGCAGTCCAATTATCAATGCTTTAAACCCTTAATTATAGGTTTTAAAACGTCTATACTTTTTAGGAATACCCATGGTTGCTGTGATGGATATTTCCGGGATAGAAACGTGGGGGCTTGTGTCAGTGAGTATAAATGCCATTCTCAATAATTTCCCACAAGGCATTGCTGTAAAAACGGTTTTTGGAAAATACAAGTCAAAGTACAATAAATTGGGTACATGTATGTGTGTGTGTTTTTTAATCCAAATACTACACTTTTTATCAAATATAAGTATAATTTATTTCATACATATCTGTAGAATGCCCAAAAGGATATACAGCCACAAACTGCTCTGAAAAATGTAGGTACCCAAGCTACGGAGTGGAGTGTCAACTCGAATGTCAATGTAATGAGACGGAATGTCACTACAGTACTGGCTGCATGAATATTTCTACAGGTAATTTATGACGCTCATAAGTATGTGCATTTTGTTCTCTCACTTTCAATTTTATTTAGTGACAGGTTTCGACCAATAATGGGTATTGAATAATAAGAATGTTCGATCGTTTGTCTTTCATACAAAGTTTGGAGTTCAGTGAACGAAAAAAAAAACTTTTCGCTAAGCGAATTAGTAAAGTTGAAATTTGTTCATTGTAATCATTTTAAAATAAAGAGACGGAAGAGATGTCTCGATAATGTTTCGAACCTACATACAGAAATTCGAAATGATACCAATACAAAAGAATTCAAGATGATCTAATACTTAGAATTCTCAGGAAAAATAAAACCAAAAAATTAAACATACCTCGTGTGTATATATTAAAAATGGCCTAAATACAAATACATTCGTATTTTAAAAGGCAAATTGAAGTCTTACGTGTGTGTCTTAAAGATATTACATTTATATGTATAGGAGGTAGCATGCAAAATTAATCTTTCACTTTAGAATATTGTTACCGTTCATTGGTTTTGTGTTTCTAAAATTTGAATGTAAAATATCCAAATAAACATGTTACTATTACTAACAATGTTGATCTTAATTCACAGTGCATGCAAACATATAAAATTTGAATTTTTAAAGTGCATTATTTCCTGACTTTCAGCTTTTTAAACAATTTTTTTAAAGGTGACTTGTCAATATTTTTATTCTTATCTGTACATGAATGCAATGTGACCGTACGTTTACAATTCTATTTTGATTTTTATGATTTTGTCATTTTTTTCTTTGGCATAAAATATATTAAGTTTGATTCAATTACTGTCTGAGTTTGAAAGGGAAACAACTGCTTCGTGCTTTCAGTTACTGCAACAACATTTTAATTTTTAATGTTTCAATTGTAGAAAATTTAAGAATGTTGTATCATTACTATGCAGCAACAACATTTCTTCGAAATAACTAGGATTGTCTAAACTTCAATGTCTACTTATTGGCCTTTTATAGTATTTGAGGTTCTCTTATATGAAAAATATACCGGGCTGACATAAATTTAATATAAGGCTATTTCATAAAGTTTGATATCACAAAAAGATACAAAGTACAAAATCACGACTCATTTTGTCACTTTTGGTGGAAAACAAATTATAACAGAACTTTCTTGACTTAGAGGAAAAAGTACCCCATTCATTTGATAATATAATTATACATTGTCGGAGTGAATTAGAGATAGCAAATGATCACGAAAATGCAAAATCACATTTATGACCATGCTGAGGAGGATTATTTAACACTTCAAGAGATGCATTTAGGTGGAATGCCACACAAACTTTCTATTTAATAGATATTTGAGTCTTCCTTTTTGAACAATGGTTCCAGCATTGAAACACCGATATTAGCTCTCAATTATATTATAAGAATTTTCAAAGAAAATTAAAAAAGTTGTTTCCGAGTTAAAAGTTTGCTGTAAATGAATGCATCATATGAATATTTAATAAAATATGAAAAGAGATACTTTTTAATTTTTTTTTTCATAAAAAATCATTTATGAAAATAAAACATATTACCTGTGAATACTTTTAAAACCTACTGTATGATTAAAAACACCACAAAACTAGTCACCATTGAGGACAACATGTATGCAAATCATATTTTAAGAAATTGAAACGAAATTTAGAAATTTTATAGAAATTAATTTAAAACAAAATTAATACAAAATTAATAAAATGCTAATATAATTTATTGCCTCTTCATGTACTTACAATGAAGAAATCTATTTTATTGGCAGGTACAATAATGTTTTAACCCTTATTACACCTAATCAGACTAGTGTTCTTGGGGAAATGGTATTTATTTCCAATAATTTTGCAATTATGGTTTGGATTGGTTTAATTAAGATCGGGATCGGCAAAAATAAAAAAAAAATCCCTAAAATTTTGTTTTTTCGTTTCAATTCCTTTAATAAATATGATTAACAAACATGTTCTCCGCCAGTTAACGTTGTGACTGGTTTTAAGAAAATTTTAACCACAAGTTAAAAAAATATTAACAAATTATGTGTTTATTTCCATATATATTTTTTTATTTAAATTTCTTTAATATCCAACCGCCTTTCTTGACATATTTTAGGTATTCATGTGATGCATTCATTTACAGCAAAATTTGTACAAAAATTAAAGCATCTACTTTGGACGTAAATATTTTTTCCTCATTTTAAAATCATATAAAATAATTAAAAGCCAATGTCGACCTTTCAATGCTGAAACCATTGTTTAAAAAATGGTAGACTCAGAGATCTATAAAAAAAAGTTGGTGTGGCATTCCTCCTTAAATGTGTCTTATGTTTCTGTAAAATCAAACGGTACCGTGAAATAATTTATTTTTCCTAGGGGTTTAATTTTTCTTTGTTTTCAGGAGAAAAGAGACCTACGAATTCTATTCAATCACGAAAAGTAAAACATCTTGTACATTACTACGTAACAATCTTCGTTTACGAATCATATTCCTACTTAGTCACAGTTTTCCTCGAAACATTTTTGCTCACATGACTAACTTGCTGGGTATTCGCAAAGTAAGTTCAGTATTTAATATCAATTCTCTGTAATTATCAAAATAGGTTGGCCACGCATAGAAAAGCATTTTGATTTTTTTTTTATAATAATTTTTAAACAGCTATGTCATTAATTGTAAAATCCAAAGTGGGTTTATGAAATAGACCCTTGGTTGCCATAGTAACAGGGTGCAAAATTCCTCAATTTCGTTAATTTTGAAAAACGTGTACTTATCAGGAAAAACTGTGTCCTAAAATGAAAAGAGATAACTTAATATGTTTTCATTATTTAAATTTAATACTACAGATTAAAGTAATTATATCTGTAGTTATAATTTAATCTGTCAATAGTAAATGGCCATTTTACATATTATAACATATCAGATGTGTGATTGGTTTAGTGGAGTTTTTGGAGGCTTAAAACAAAAAAGACACACTGATTACAAATTTAGTAATAATTAATTATGAAAGGCTGATATTTGATTATATTAAAATATGTAAAATATTGGTGGGAGATTCAAAGATGTAAAATAAATTCAAAAGTAAAGATTACTTTTTTCTACATTTTGAGGCATTTTTTGCTTCCTAATTACTTCCCTTGAACTACTCTCTAACGTTTGGAGGTACAATGTGTATTTAGCAAACATTGCATGAACATTCTCTGGCGAAAGATCTCATCAAAGTTTTACTGTCTGGAAGAAAAAAAAGAAGGCTAGACATCTTAAACAATGAAGACAGAAGGTAAATTTTTGTATATCCTGAGCATTACAAAAATATCAAGATTAACCAATGTATATTTTCTTAATTTTATTTGCCTTACAATACACTGTTGTTTTACGAGTAGTGGTCAGTGGTGATTCCTATTCAAATCAAGCGAACTATACCTTTCGACAGTTTGACTTTCTGACCAATGAATTAATTATTTTTATTAATAAAAATGAATTTGAAGCATATAAACATTACTTGCTGATAAAACTGACCCCCCCCCCCCAATATAAATGTCTACACTTTATATAGAGATTGTGTAAAATCTGTGCCATTCAGAAGGTTTACTTTTTATAATGTGCTGAGAGAGACTTTTAAGTGAACATTATTTATATTTCTAATATAAATTTCCACTTCTGTCAGTTTTCATTCATTGTTTATCCTATTACTGTAAAATCACATATTTCGTTGGGTCAAATTTTCGTGGTTTGAGGAAAATCTCTTGGTTCTTGGGGATTTGATTTCGTGGATCAAGAATAAACGAGTACTTGTGTATATAGCACGCTAAATTCACAAAAATGAGATAAACTTAGTTTCACAATTGATAATTATAAACTAGGTTTATCGACTGTAAACTATAGTTTACAAACCGAAAACTATAGTTAACGATTCGTATAGTTTTCATCTGTAAAACTATAATTAACGGTCGCTAACTAAAGTTTACGAATGCTCCTCTAAGTTTATCTGTCTGAATAAAGTGCTAACAATAGATTTTGTTGATAAAGATAGATTCACGTTTGTAAACTATAGTTTACAATTGTAAACTATAGTTAAAAGTTGTTAATCATAGTTTCACAAATCGTGAAACTATATCTATTCGATCGTTAACTATAGTTAACGGTTTGTAAACTATAGTTAACAATTCGTGAAACTGTATTTATCAGATAATCTATGTTTTGCAATCGCAAATGATTGTTTTCGATGTTAAGTATAGTTTACGGTTGTGAAACATAGATTTTTGCTTTAACTATTAATTGGTTTACAGATGTAAAATATAGATTAACGTTGTTAACTATAGTTTACAGTCCGTAAACTATAGTTTACAACCGATAAACCTAGTTTATCGACTGTGAAACTATGCTTTGCTCCTTTTTGTGGATTTGGCGTGCCATATATGTATGTATCATTTTACATTTCATGGTGGTTATAAATTTGTGGGTCTCGTCGTACCTCGAAATCAACGAAAATTAAACTCCCAAGAAAAATTTGTGATTTCACAGTATTTCAATTCTTAATTGGCATTAGGCACATATTTTACAGAATTGTGTTGTTAAAATATTAAACTAGAGCAAGTTTGTTTTTATAAAAAAAAAGTGCATCAAACGTTTATAATGTGTGAGCACAAGCACAAAGTAGCTAAGTTTTTTAAAATAGTATTCTATATATCAGCAAAATATGGTCATGTGATGTTCATAAGCAGAAAATAGGAAAACAGCATGTTTGCTTTGATGTCATTGTTTTATTTAATAGCTTCTATCATTTAAACTTAAAATTTATCATATATATAGTCAAAACTGTAGAATATGTATATTGACAGAATAGATCTGGGTTAAGAATGCACTGGAAATATTTATCGAGTTATTTTTGTTTACATAGACTCTTTCATTCGTCTGTGAAGTACCGGTACTGTATACATGTATAAATTTTAACTTTATCATTAATCCTTAGAAAAAGTTGCAATCTTGTTGTGTATTATTGAGAAATTTTAAAACTTTTATCTAGAAAAATAATTTTATTCAAAGAAGAAATGTTAGAAAGCAAAACTCCGTCACAAGTATCGTCATTCCGAACTAAGAGTCGCGTACAGAGATTAGCAAATCGAGCACACTCGTGTTATGTACACAGTTTTTGTAAACAGGGCACGAGTTCTGTTAATGTTGATGTTTACAATTCACCGGGTGCGTTCAATCGTCAATGTCTGCTTACCATAACTGCACGGACTGACAATATATTGTTTGTTTGTTTTGCTTTCGACAATATCTACTCTGAATTTTCTGGATTATAGTAAAAATATTTTTCATTTGTACACAAAGAGATTGCTACTTTCCCTAAGGATTAAGAATAGAATTAATTTGTGAAAGAGCAAGGATGTGTAAATCAAACCCGCCAAAAAATTGATATTTTAATATCTTTTATATGAAATAAGATTATTAATTAATTTTTGTGTGAAATGCTATTAAAATATATTAGTCGTAATATTATAGAGAAAATAATAACTTCAAATCTGTGTCTAAGTACCTTGAATATGATATGGTTTGGTTATTAAAATACATTGTAGTTGATAATTTTCATAGAGATTTGGGGTAAATAAAATGGGAGAAAGCAAATGAAAAATCTGGACCGTGGCCTAGGACGATGGACTTCTAAATCTTGAATAATAAAGTCTTTCGTAATGCAATAATTAAATAATATCTCGGATACAATACAAATTAAAAATTAATGAATACAAAGAACAAAGAACTCGACACACAAAAATAAAATTTTATACAATGCAAATCAGTGGCGGATCAAGGTACTGAAAACCAACTTTTATTCGCGACGACCTTACATGTATTTCACGATTTACTAGAGATAAGATAGCTCGCGACGATTTATTTTCGCGATCAAGCCTTTTTGAATCTATTCTTAATAGACACATATAGTTTAAGGACCGATTCGCGGTGAGAAATATTCGCGATGACGAGGCTCTCGCGAACCTCGCAAACAATTCTTGCACTCTAATAAAATTTGGAAA